ACACGGGGGGACTATATCCCTCCATCCCCTTTCTCTTCCTCTCTCTGCCATCATACACTACTAGAGGGCACCCCGGTGTTTGTCCATGCTGGACCGTTTGCCAACATAGCTCACGGTAACTCCTCCATCCTTGCCGACATGCTGGCCCTGAAACTGGTGGGGAGGGACGGCTTCGTTGTGACCGAGGCAGGTTTCGGAGCCGACATTGGGATGGAGAAATTCTTCAACATTAAGTGCCGCTACAGTGGTATATACGTGTAACTAAATCAAGTGCTGCTATATACAGTCTACCATTCCTTTATCTCGCCTCTATCTAACTGACGCCATCCCCTGTTTCACGATAATACAGTGGAACCTCCGATAAGGGACCCTCTGAGATAGGGATGACCTCTCTACAAAGGACACTTATTATCAACCCGATTGCTATTACTTTAGTGTATTATTTGACCTCCGAGATAGGGACGACCTCTCTCCAAGGGACAAAATCATCGGCCCCATATTTTCATATTTTCCATTGTTTGGAGGTTCCGCTGTATTATTCCCACTTGTCCTGTCCCCAGGGCTGGTTCCGAGCTGTGCAGTTCTGGTAGCTACAGTCAGAGCCCTCAAGATGCACGGTGGAGGACCCACTGTCGTGTCGGGAAGACCTCTGGACCCAGTGTACTGCCAGGAGAACCTCTCTCTTCTGGAGACTGGCTTTGCCAACCTCCAGAAACACATCTAGAGAACACCCGTCTGTTTGGCGTACCAGTTGTCGTGGCTATCAATAGATTTGTGACTGATTCAGAGGTATGTTTGTTTTCCTTGAGGTGGCTATCAATAGGTTAGTTTGTTTGCCTTTATGGGTTATACATACACTTAGCGGTTTAGCTAAAAGGGTAACCTGACAAAGGCTGGAATGTAATACAACGTAAGTAATGTGGAATATTATAGGGTCCGTGCTTATTGATTGTGGTGGATCATGTTAAGTAAACTTTCCCATTCCTGCTCTTGTGGGTGTTGTAATTGTAGTGTTAAACAATAAGGCCCCCCAAGAGAATTACTTGAGAAATCGTATTAATACGATATGATCTTAAGCTCTGAGATTGTTTGTGTTAAGTGGGAGACCCACTTACTGGGTGAATCTCTGCTGTCACAGAGTGAATTGGAGCTGGTGCAGAAATTGAGCAGAGAGGCTGGGGCATTTGATGCTGTCATCTGCAGTCACTGGGCCCACGGAGGTTTGTATGATTTCATGCCTTCACCAATGCAACAAGTGTGTTGAAAAACTTCCCATATATAGCCCTCATACCTTTAAATTCACAAATAATATGTACTAGGTCGTAAATTCTCACTCTATAATTATAGACACTGTCCCACCCACTAAGTCCATTGTGCAAATGTTTTCGTAGTTGATTGCATACCTTTCCACCTGACTTGCAAGTATATACACTCCCTTTTCCTCCCCCCTCTCTCTCTAGGTGCAGGTGCTGTAGCTCTAGCTAAGGCCGTCAAAAGGGCCGTCAAGAGCCCGTCAAACTTCACCTTTCTCTATCCCCTCACCCTGTCATTGGAGGAGAAAATTAGGACAATCGCCCGACAGATTTACGGTGCCGACGACGTCACGCTATCTGAGGAGGCACGGATAAAAATAGAACGCTATGAAAAGTACGGGTTCGGCAGTCTCCCCATTTGTATGGCAAAGACGCACCTCTCGCTGTCTCACGACCCGCAATTGAAGGGGCGTCCCTCGGGATTCGTTGTGCCGATCCGCGACGCCCGAGCAAGTGTGGGCGCTGGATTTATCTACCCTCTAGTGGGAGCTATGTCGACCATGCCTGGTTTGCCCACCCGACCGTGTTTCTATGACATAGACATTGACCCAGAGACAGAAGAGATAACTGGCCTCTTTTAGGCGAAATATTTTTGCTATATAGAAATAGTGGAGGTGTGTGTAGTCTAGTAGTGGATGCGCGTGCGTGCGTGACGGCGGAGCGGGAAATTTCAGCACCGGCTATATAGGCTGAAAAGAAAGCGTGTTGTGGAGTTGAACGGTGCGTGCGCCTTATATCCTGCATCATGTACAGAAGAAATGTCAAGGTAGCGGCGCTCGGTGCGCTAGTATCGTCCTCTTTGGTGCTGATGTACTTAGTTTGGAGTCGTTACGTTCTTCCCGACGTCGAACCCGTGAGAAAGACGGACTATGCCGAGGAGGACGGGAAAACTGCGATGTTTGGGGAAAGCAGAGCTCTCGTGAGCGGCAAGAACAAGGATGTAGTAGCCGTCGAAAAGAGTGGGGGCCGTATCTATAGTGGTGGGTGTGCCGGAGTCGACACTCGAAAGATTGTCACTTGGAAGCGTGGGCTGGTGACAGAGCTGCAGCCGAGCATCGTCAAGAACTGCGAAAAGTTGAAGCTGAGCGTGCCGCAGGAGCAGGCCAGCGTCCGTCTGGCCCTCAAGTCGTGGAAACCGCGAGAGACGGACGGAGAGTTTCGGCAGAGAATGACCCAGTGCCCACAGGTGTGGAGCGAGTTCTCGGAGCACAGCTTCTACAATTCCGAAGAGGAAGTAAACTTTCCGATCGCCTACGTTCTCGTCTTCCATAACAACAGCCGGCAGATAATCCGCCTGCTAAAGGTCCTGTGGAGACCACAGAACGTATTCTGCTTGCACCCGGACGCCAAACAAGGTCCAGAGTTTGTGTCCTTCTTCAGATCCTTCGCATCTTGTTTCGATAACGTGTTCATCTCCTCGAAACTGGAGCGGATCATATACGCACACCACACCATAATGGACGCGCAGCTAAACTGCATGGAAGACCTTCTAGCTCTGAAGGAGTCTAGATGGAGGTACACCATCGCACTCTGTGGTACTGAATTACCTCTGAAAACAAATAGGGAGATAGTTGCAGGGCTGAAGCGGCTCAAAGGTGGTTCGGGGATAACTACGCATGCACTGAACGACAATGCAAAGAGTAGGTTCGACAAGAAGATTGAAATCGGTCCAAATGACGAAATTCAATTTACCACTGCACGTCTCGGCCCCCCACCGCACGGGATCGAGCTGAGAAAGAGCTGGGATTTCTTTGCACTCACGAGACCTTTCATCAACTTCATCCTCACCGATCAGCGGGCGATTGATTTCCGCGAGTACTGCAGAGGAGTTTTCATCCCCGAGGAGCACTTTTTTGCCTCTCTCTTCTGGATGAAAGATGCCCCGGACGGCGAAAACAGGAGAGACAAAACGGGGATCATACCTCTCGTCGAGGACATGGTGTGGGTGCAGGGAGACCCGAAAAGAGCCCCGGCGTGCGCAGGGAGCATCGTCCACCAGATTTGTATACTTAGCTCCGGAGATCTGGGGACCGTCTACAAGAAGGGGGTGCTGAGTCACACAAATAGATTCTTCTACAACAAGTATTTCATGCACCTCGATCACGTGGTAATGGACTGCATGGAGGAGAGATTGGTTCAGCAGAACAAGATTGAGTATTTCAAGGATTGCTTATTATAACATTTTGTACATTTTGTTAGGTCTCCCACTGTCCATCAGGTTACATTAAATACAGTAGAATCTTCTCATACAGATTGTGTCCTATAATTAATTATATCGAAACAAGAGTGTCCACCATAATTATATATTTACTGGCAAAATTTTTATCAACATGAAAGCGCTCTATCATTGATTGTGTGATCATGCGCAGTCCTTTGCATGTTCTTTCATGTTCTGTTGAATGAGTCTCTCTTCCATGCAGTCCATCACTACGTGGTCCTCTTCCATGAAGTACTTATTGAAGAAAAACACAGGGGTTCTTCTATCGACCCCCCAGTGGAAAATCTGATCCAGGTCCCCTACTCCGAGTATGCAAATAAAGTGGACCATCCTCCCCTCACATGATTCTTGTTTATTTCGTGTCTTTTTCTTCTTGCTCATCCAGATATACCTATCGATAGTAGGTACGGCCACTTTATGTGGAGGTAGGCCACCTGGTACGCCTGGCAGGTGGATCAGCGATGCATAGAACTCTTCTTCCGGGATTTTGACGTCCGTGAGGTAGTTTCTGAACTCTATCGCTCTTTTATCGGTGAGGAAAAAGTGGACAAACTGTCGTGTTGCGGCGATAAAGTTTGTGCTCATGTATATCGGTATCGGGGGCTTTTTGAGTTTCTCTCGTGTGTAGTAGAGCTTTCCGGTGTTGTAGCTTTCCTCTGTTTTCCACTGGAAGCGATCCCTGGCAAGATAGCTTTTGGAGTCCGTATTCACACGGCGAAGGGTTTCAACCGCGCTGTGACCTTTGAGTTTCGCGAGACTTTCCACAATCTCTCTGTTAGTCTTGAGCGGCAGCTCTCGGCCGCAGATATTGATGACGTACTTCCAACGTGTGGCAGGATAGGTCATTAGGTCTTCGTAGCAGTTCATCTGCGAGTCCATGATACTGTGATGTTGGTAGTACCCTTCTCCAGTTTCCTCGGGAGGAAAACATTGTCAAGACACTTTGCCAGTTGCCGAAAAACCCCGATGTATTCCTCGCTCTGCTTGGCGTCTGGATGTATGCAGAACAGATTCTGCGGTCTCCAGAGAGTCTTGATGAGTCGCACCATCTGGCGAGGGTTCGTGTACACCACCATGATGTACGCAATGGGAAACTCCACTTCTGTCGGCGAATTGTAAAAGTTGTTTGAGAAATCTTTGACTACAGTCTCGCAGTCTGAGAGACTCTCTCTCCATTCTTTCTCCGACTGGGAACTTCGCCAGGACTCAATTTCCGTCTTGACTCTCTGGATCTCGCGTCTGTTGTCTGAACGAAGGAGTTTGCAGTCGGCTCTGATGCGAGGTTGGAGCTCCGTTACCACACCTCTTCTCCATGAACTGATCCTGCTGGTGTTGCAGGCACCCTGCAGTGAGAAGGTCTTTGTATGATGCCTGTCGTAGGTAGACTGGTCAAATTTAGCAGCAACTTGAGGGTGTAGCTCAGTATAGTGAGTAGGTTCTTCGTCAATTTTGTCATCTAGACTGTAATCCCCGTATAAATTTTTCATCTGATGCCTTAGCATCATACTCGATGCGGTCTTCACCGTAAGTGACATCATCATTGGTAAAGGTTGCATCCCCTATGGGACTATCCAATTCTTGGGAGTCTTGATCCATCGCAATATCAGATTCTTTGGTAGTGAAATTATGGGGATTTCTTATATCCTGGACTTTAGAATTGATCTGCTCATGGTCTTCGTCCGTTGACCTCTCACGTGGTTTCTCATCACTGTATCTATCCAAACTGCCGATCACTGATCTCTGGACGAACTCACTGCTAGAGAGAACTCTTTGGTTGAGAGACGGCCATCTCTGAGCTTCCCTGTACTGAGAAACTAAAGTGTTGTTTTCTTTCTGACTGGAGTGATAGTAGCTGGAGAGTGCGAATACTGCGAGGAGAATTAGAACTCCCACCCCGCATCTTCTGCACAATCTGAAGAGAGAAAAGATCATTCTGGCGGCTGTATTTCCAGCGTTGCTTACTTTCTTAACATTGTAAAGGACAGGGGGGCCCACGGCAGCTTGATATCTAGTTGGCTACTAAGCACTAGGAGACGGGTTTCCTCCGTAGGAACGCAACATAAAGGTGCGCAACAATCTACGTAATAGTTTCGCATTGCCAACTCCTCAAAACATCGAAAGTGCTTCCCTTTTTAGGGTAACGCAGATACTTACAATTTAGATTTCTAGGCAGGGAAAAGTTGCAGTAAGAGTCCTAAGTCGTGCGCATGCGTACACAACACAAACTAGCCCCGAAGAACCACCTCGCGTCGGACGATGGCGTCGGAGAAAACGACGAAATCTCTAAAGTTGTCGCAGTTGTCGCTGCAGCAACTGGACAGGTTCAAAGCACAGCTGAACGAGGTAAGGATACACAGATCCCACCGGCACAACTGCTCTCGTAGCTGTAAAATTAGTCCGAAAAGACTCGCGATTCTATTTAGCGCCATCCCGTTCCACGTTTTTTTGGACAGGAGGTGAGCATTCTGACGTCTTCCATGCAGTCCTTGAAGACAGTTCAACTGAAACTGAAAGAGTCTAAAGAATCACTAGATAGCGTAAATGATAAGAGCGAAGGTAAGTGCATAATTCCAGAAGTTTATGATCGTAAGATTGAAAGTCTATCTTTTTTTGCAGGAAAGCCTATTCTTGTTCCCCTAACAAGTTCTGTATCCACCTATGATTTTAGCACTATTTTTTGGGATTCTTTTTGGGGAGGGCAGGGGGTGATCATAAAGTACCACTTACAGCAATACCACTTGAGAATACCACTGTTTTGAGGCTTATGTAGTCCATCCCCCTCCACCCCAAGAAAAGATCTCCTTGCCCCTTTTGACACGAGGCTGTTGTGTTGCGGGCCTTGACTTGTGTTCTACTAAGATGTACGTACCAGGCAAGCTCAAAGACACCAGTAAGGTTCTGGTTGACGTGGGGACCGGATTCTACATTGAAAAGGTTTTACTTTCATATATACATAATCCTGGCCCTCCTATTCAACTCTGTTGCTATCTGTACTCCATAATTAATATAGCCTTTCCGCATCATGCTCCTTATAATATTGACATGCAACTACTAATAAAGCTACATATCTCCCCACCTTGCCAAGAAGTATAGAGAATTTTAAAACCTGCTAATAATAGTAGGATATAGCTTAATCACTCAATTTCCTTCTCTGCCGAGTGTCCAGTTCCGTTTTATTAATGTCTGACCTCTCGTCAGAATGTGCCAGGTGCACAGGACTACTTCCAGAGACGGATTGATTTCATCACAAGAAATATAGAAGAAGTGCAAAAGAATCTTCAAGAAAAGCACATGATCAGGGAAAGTGAGTGAGAAAATGGTATAATAGCTACAGTCAAACAGAACAGAGAGCCCGGGACCATTTACTTTTTTTCTGAGGCGACTAAACTAACCCAAGGTGAGTCCTAAAGTGGAGAGATGTCCTTTATAGTTCAGAATCACCGGTTGCAATGTCTACGGCATTTGGCATGAAGTCAATATGGGTGCTAGCCAGCCTCCGATGCCTATGGTTCTCATAACCCACTTGCAGACCAATACCTTTGCATAGACATGTATGGGTTTTTTGGTACAATATCACATTAAAATTTGTGTTTCTTGACCCACAGATGTAGTGAGTATGATGCAGACAAAGTTACAGGCTCAGATGCAAGCAATGAGAGTGGCTAAATAACACCCACAAACAACAGATCATGCAGTTCTCTCAAAATGTGATCCTCAAACCATTTGGCACGTGTGTATATACTGCTATTGATCACAACTTTTGTTTATTGCACACTCACAACTAATTATTATCATCGAAAAAAGTAATCTATATAATAAGTATGCGATGAAGCACAAACATCAAGTGTATATAACAGAAAGAGGTTAGGCTTTAATGGACGCAAGACTGACAGAAATAACACATTAAGCAGTCATAGGTCCATTGGTTTAGCTTCCATATAGTGAGTTGGCGACTCCAGAAACTTGTCCCAGTCTCTGGGCATCTGAAACACTTCGACTTCCACCCACTCTTCGTACTTCTCCTTCCACGCCTTGCTCAGCGGAACGTGCTTGCCCAGGACACTGAGGTAGTTTTGACTCATGGGGGAGAGTTTTCCGCCAAACGGATCGGTTAGCGACGGGGGATCGGGGGAATAGTAAGTCGTATTGAAGTACTCGATGCTCGCTTTCAAGGCAAATTCCTGCTGCTGAAAGTCCCACGGTCTCGCGTCCAGGTCGTTTCCGTACGCCCAGTCGTCGTGGAGATGATGTCGTACGCGTCGGTAGATTGCCGAGATGGTCTTCATGTTCGATCGACGCCAGTTTCTTCCGAGGTACTTTGTCTGGACTTTGAGCAGCTTCAGAATGTACAGCTGCATCATGGGGTGACGTACTTTCAGCGCTCGCTTGAGAATGGGCGCCGAGCGGAACACGACCAGCATGACGGTCCGAAAATGCTTCCACTTTGTCAACTTTTGCAGTATTCGGACGAGGTTGATGCAGGAGAAGAGATTGCGCCAGCAGAACCCCGAGTCGGTCGTGGTACTCTCGGAGACCTCCAGCGTGACCTCCCCGTCTTGCGGTAGGAGGACGCACGTCGGGAAATTGAGCGACGGGAAGTTGTTGCGCGCCGAGATGTACTGCATCATGTTCTGATTGAAGAACTTCAGGACGAGTGGGATGCAGTTGGCAAACACAAGGTGCTGGCTCATGTACTCAAACTGGTAGATGTGGTTCACTTTGAAGTGCTTCAGGAGCAGTAGAAGCGTTGCCGAAATAGCCTTGACTATGATCTCCTTGTGGCGGTTGACGTCAAACGTGACTTGTGTAGTCTCCACTATGTTGGTGGGCGCTTCCGGTGGGAGCACGTCGCCCAGAATGTTGAGGGAATCGTTGCGGGCACGCGAAGTCGGGGCCGCTGCGAGTAGAACTTTGAGCAGTGCTATCATGTACTGCGGGAGGTTTGGGAGAAGGACCTTGTACAGACTCTCCGTGGGGTTGTCCCTCTTCGTTAAGCTCGTCACCCCACAGTCCTCGGTCTTGTCCTCCGCCGCGGGTTTCCCCGTCGGAAGAGCGCACGCTTGTGCCTTCTTTGCCGTTTCTTCCTCGGCAATCTGAATGTCGGAGAGAGGGACGTATACGTGCTGTTGCAGAACTCGAATGCTCTCTTGGATTGGCTCGGGAAGGCCAACAAGTTCGTTCCCTCCCTCTCCCGTCTCGAAGCAGCCGTATTTCGAACGGCAAGACTCGACGTATGCCTCCACGTCCTTGCTCCGTGCCTTTGGACGAAAGTCCAGCCCCTTCCCCCCGCTGATACTGATGTCTCCAACACTGTCCGTGTCACTCACCTGCGAAATACCACGATTGATTCGGGCGGCGGCCCCGTCAATCAGCCCCCGGGGGTCGAAGGCAGGGGTCGGGAGAATCAGAGGTCGCGAGGGTCGCACCTCGGGAAACTCGGCTGGCAAACCGACGACCTCTCTCCGTTGCTTCTTAATCTCCTGCAGGTCCTCCAGCCCACCCATCATGGCAAGAATGGTTTTCCAGATGAGCAAGAGGATCCGCTTGATCGGATAATGGGGCATCGTCCCGTTGCAGAATGCGAGCAGCATGACAAAAAGTAGTGATGTAAGCGTTTCCTCGCCAACTACTGGTTCTGAGAGGCTTTCTATAAAGCTCTTTCTGAGACGGAGCCAGTCGGGTGGGTCGTTCGGGCAACCGCGTTGCATCGTCTCCACTATCACGTAGAGTAGACTGAGGCACATGCGAAGGTTGTAGTTGTCGGCGATTGTTATGTTGGCCCGCGTTCCTTCGTACACTCCCTTGCCTTGTTCCATTTCGACTGCGAGGAGCTCAATAGTGGCGCAATACACCCCTAGCTCCAACATCATAAAGATGTTAGCCCTGGCCGTTGGCTCTAGCGACTCTTCCCTGACGTCGGGAGCGAAATTCCCGTGCGCGAGATACAAGAGGCATTTTACCGCTTCTAGTCTCTCTTTCGGCTCCACGACTTCGAAACGGTCCAGGAGGGACATCACGAACGAGAGTTGCTGTTCTCGCGACAAGTCGGCCCAGCAAGACGTGTCGTAGCTCGTCTCGAGGCACGTCTCAAACACCTCCCGAGTGGTGTAAAACTCGGGGGCTTCAGAGTAAGAGTAGAGTTCGGACAACTCGTGGGCGTAGGTGTCCGTGTCGGCATACTCAAATTCAAGGTCAGGAGCATCGCCTGGAGTCGGGTCCGAGTCCTTACGTTGCCTGTGGGGAGGAGCGGGCATACAGTATATTGCTTAAACCTCTCATTAGTCATAACAAGTGCATCTTTCATGTGTTCAAACTCACGTACTATAATGCACACCTCTAATGAGGACACCACTCTAATAAGGACATTAGCTACAGTTGTTGCATGCAGTTTAACCCCTGAAATAGGGCACCTCACTTATAAGGACGGACACACTCTCGGCTCTCTCGCTGGAAGTTGTGTGCATTGTAGCGAAGGTTTTCACGTGGTTTGAAGGCGTACCTTCTGAGGACTTGTCTCAGGTCGATCCTGCCGGTCCCTGTGGCACCGCCACCACCGTCAACTAGGCTCATAACAGCCCTTTGCTTTTCCTCTCTCTCCCGCGACCAAATTTGTTATGTCACGTGAAATCCTCGAGGTGCACGTGATCATTGGCATAGATAAGCGCAGTGTGCGCGTAACATTTAACAGCGCAGTACGCTTTTTGGCAACGGACCGCTTTCGGACAAGGCAAGGATCAGGGGGAATAAGGAAGAGAAAGAGACAGGGACATGGCTGAAAGGCACGACGGAGGAGGAGGAGGCGGAGGAGGGAAGGGAGGAAAGATCCTCAGCATGACCGTGAAGCGGGCTCGCCGAGTTCAGGAAAAGGTGCGTATATATTCGCGTCTGGCCGTCGTCCGTGTTTGTTTTCTTACGTATTCTCTTCGTAGCTACGTGCGCGGTACGTGTGATAAACGGGGGAGCGTCAGTTCATGCGGCTAAAAAGAAGGCTCCCTGTTAATTACGACAAGCAATAAGTGTGAAGTGATATAGACGTAATATCCACCCACGCACACTCAGATTGGCTGAAAACTGCCTCTCAATGCTATGTGTGTTTGTGCTAACTTTTGAAGCTGTTCGTAACTACTTTACCCGAAACACCGTTTTATATTATAATCAGCTTCAATTTTTTCATTGACTGCCCATTCGAAGCGCACTGGTAAAGTGCTCTTGTACGAAGTATAATAATTATAAAACTAGTGTGTACGCACACGTATGTAAGCCATTTTGGGAAGAAAGCGTGTTTGGGCCTTCCTGTTTTTCCTCGCTCATATTGAAAGTGTACATGTTTTCCACTACTGCATTTCGAGAAGCGGAATGCAATCTGTTTTGGGAGTCTTGTTTTGTGTGTACGCAAATCACGAATGTACTACACACGAGTGTGTGAGCGCGTTTGATATTTGCGACCGTACAATTTGCTTAATGTGTTGACATTATGAAGGCAAAACCTTCACTCCCCACGTGTCCTTTTATAGTCACTAGAGGAAAGATACGTTCTAAAGTAATTGAAAGCGAGGATGGTTTTTAGCCCCCATAAATACGCCCAAGCAGCTGTTTTTGCGTTGTTTAAACGTGCAGCGCGGATGCAAGCACGTCATCATCGCGTTGTAATGTTCTGCAGCGCTCGCTAGCATTGAAAGAAAGATGAAATATGCAAGGACTGCAGTATCAGTGCAGTGTTAGTAGGGAGTACGTACTCTCTGGTTGTAGAAACCCACATGGAATTTACACTACACTTACACTATGCCCACTATTTAACATTATACGCTATGGTTCCGGGTATAATGGAATGTGTAAATTATCTGATAATGGCACAGGGTGTGTTTATCTCAAAAAGGAAGGTGTGCGGTATAATCTAGCTTCCTATTTTAGTTTCGTATTTTACGCTACACACGTGTCAAAATGATATAATGAAAAGCACTAAAGTGCAAACCCTCGGCGAACTGCGCATGCGTGATACTGCTAATTGATGGGCTGGGCTATGTGTATGCGTTTACTCGTGGTCTCCCGCCAGAGAGTCTGACTCGGGCTAGCTACAGTAGTAGATAGCATGCGGGAGTCGATACATGCCATTCGTTGTGAATTCCTGAGCCCCCAAGGTACACAGGAGCGAGCTGATCAGGTCGTGGTAAGCCAAGTGCTAATATGCATATTGGCTTTTTCGCTTGTTTTCACGGCATATCTCTCGGACGCAGTCGTTTAAGGAAAATTGCCCTTTTATTTTTCAGGCTCGCGTAGTTCCCTGTAGTGCCAGAATAAGCGTCAACACACAAACAGACAGACAGACAGACAAAGCAACTACTGTAACCCTTGCTGCTCATGCACGCCGAGGGTTAATTATATCTACATATGTATTCAACAGCTGTTAACCATAATCAGCCCGTGCATTTGGTGCATACAGACACTAATTGTACTGTGTGTCCAACCATCAAACCAACGTGTGTGTATACTCCATACCTTACCATGGTAGGCAATGAACCAACCCTTGGCCCAGCCGTGGCATGCCTGGCAGCCTCGAAATCCCTCCTCTGTTTGGGGCCGTAACTTCTTTAATGACCGACATCTTAGCAATTTCTCCTCCCTCCACCAACACACAAGCAATAGATTACCCAGCACTGTATGCATTACGTAACCCTTTATCAACCAACACATACTGTCAGTGGCTCTTATATGCTTGCATGTACCATTAAAGCCATATAACGTATATGTAAGGTATTGGAAGAAAATTTTTTAGCCACTTGAAAAAATTTGAGGCGCCCATTAAAAAATTTTTTCGCTATGTTTTTTATCGCGATATAAACTCTCTGTGTGTGTGTGTATCTGGATTGCAGATGATGCAGAAACTAGGCAAGTCGGACCAAACAAGAGACGATGTTTTCGAGGAATTCGTAAACAACTTTAACAAACAGAACGTCAGTTTCATTTTTCCTCCTCCTCTTCCTCTCTCCCTCCCCCACCTCCTCCTCCTCCTCCTCCTCCTCCTTCCTCTCTCTCCTCCTCCTCCTCCTCCTTCTCTTCCTTCCTCTCTCTCCTCCTCCACCACCCCCTCCTCCTCTTCCTTCCTCTCTCTCCTCCACCTCCTCCTCCTTCTCTTCCTTCCTCTCTCTCCACCTCCTCCTCCTCCTCCTCCTTCCTCTCTCTCCTCCTCCTCCTCCTCCTTCTCTTCCTTCCTCTCTCTCCTCCTCCTCCACCTCCTCCTCCTCCTTCCTCTCTCTCCTCCTCCCCCACCTCCTCCTCCTCCTTCCTCTCTCTCCTCCTCCTCCTCCGAGGGGAAGGGCGTACCATGCCCATCCCTACAACTACCGTACTTAGTGATACAGTGCAAAGCTGTGTTTGTTATGCTTTTCGTGCCTCGTTTAATGTACACCTCTCCCTCCCTCCCTCTCCTCTTACTATGTATGTATGGTGGCTATGATATATATGATAATTGTGCAGGCATGTGCAGTAAAGCTGCAGAAAGAGATGATGAAGTACATGAACAGTATCAGAGGTAAGACTCTGCCCCCTTCAGTTCCCATCACTACTTGTGCTAAAGTACGCTCGCGCCGAGAATGCATGCGGAAGTAGATAATGAGGAGGGCGGTACTACTCTCGCCGTATGTAAAGTATGGCGTAGAAATGTATGGGATTATGCGTAACGTGTGTAGCGAAAAAACTGCGCAGCGGATTTGAACGGGGTAAGCGCTGAACAAACCGGAGTGTGAAGCGCTACATTTTGATACCAAGTGTGGCCGCATACGGTGCTGGAATCGGAAGTTATCTAGATTTTCAAGGTGCATTCTCAGCGCGAACGTACTTTAGTTAACATTCTTGCAGTGAAGCTGACAGCACTCCAAAATGAAAATCCACAGATGATTGTGTACAAACTATCCTCTCCCCCTTCCTCTCTCACTCCTCCCCTCAGTTCTCTATCAGAACACCAAGTCCATGTCAGAGACTGTGCGAGAACTGTACGAAGACGACTGGGAGGGATGTGAGAAACAACGAGAGCTGATGGAGGTATGTGCCTCTTTCTTATCTTCTCAACTTCCCGACTACTGATTCTCTTCTCCTCCGCTCCCTCCGTCTTCTGTCCTCCCGCTCTCTCTTGTCCTCTCTCTGCTCTTGTCTGTATTGCAAGTATGTGCTCTTCTTATTTTCTTTTCCTTCTTCCTTCTTCCTTCTTCCTTTCCCTTCCTTCTTTCTTCCTTCTTCTTCTCCCTCCCTACTCGATTTCTCCTCCTCCCTCCTACTCGATTTCTTTCCTTCTCCCTCCCTCCCTCCGTCTTTGTCCTTCCTCTCTCTTTCCCTCTCTCCGCTCTTTGTCTGGTATTCAAGTACATAGTGCTTCTTTCTTTCTTCTCCCTTCCTTCCTTCTTCCTTCATCGACTTCTTCCCTTCCTCCCTCCTTTCTCTTTGCTTGTCTTTCGCTCCCTTTTCCATTACTCTCCCCTCATCTTCCTTCTCCTTTTACGAAAGCACCGCCTACATGTTTTGTGTCCTTACAACTCATGTGACAATCACATGACAATCACATGGGGAATTCCCCTCTCCATAGCAACGTATTCTCTTGTGGGAGGACCTACTCACTTCGCTCAGTTCTAGAACGGTGGAGCCGATGAGTAACTACATTTCTCGATTCTCGGACGTGAAGTATGGTGTACTAGATTCGTGGTCGTGTTAGACTGTGTTTACGGTGCGTCTGTCACATTCCCCCATTTGTGCCATGCCTTCTCGTTGTGCTGTGAGGATAGGATCTATATATCTTCACAGCGTGGGGTGACGGGACAGAATTATATTATTGTGAACTCAGCCCTATATCGTGCACGCATATAATGTGATTGGAGTTGGGGTTGGGCTAAGTGATTTCCTCCTCTCCCTCCTCCTCTCCTCTCCCTCCTCCTCTTCTCTCCCTCCTCCTCTCCCTCCTCCTCTCTGTCCGCCTCGCTCTACTGTCATCCTCCCCTCTCACCTCCTCCTCTTCTCTCCCTCCTCCTCTCCCTCCTCCTCCTCTGTCCTCCTCTCCCTTCTCCCTCCTCTCCCTCCTCCTCTTCTCTCCCTTCTCTCCCTCCTCCTCTCCCTCCTCCTCTCCCTCCTCCTCTTCTCTCCCTCCTCCTCTCTCCCTCCTCCTCTCCCTCCTCCCTCCCAAAAGATCCGAATCCAGAAGAGGGAGAGGAAGATGGTGGATTTCGACCTCCGAAGGCGGGAGCTGGAACATGCCAAATCGAAAGCGAAAGTCAGGGACCAGAAAGTTCAGCAGGCGGAAGAGACACACACTCAAGCAAAGCAACTCTTTGACGAGATTACTGACGAACTATACGAGGAACTACCTACTTTATATGATAGGTATTTTACCGAATTTTTTCGTGAAAAAAAGAGGACGGTCCACAAAAAATCATTAGTGATGTGTCCAATCGCCTGTTAAAATAAAGGTGATAATTGGACACATCACTAATGATTCTAGTGTCCCATTGGATACATAGTTCCCCTCCCCATAACATTATATATACAGGGAGCAGTGGTTACTAAAATTAGTCTGTTGAATGTTGTAATCACTAAATTTAGTTGCTGCTGTTCAGGGATGGTATTACAATGGGATTCATGGGTCACATGTCCAGTCGATTAATTTTTTATTAGCTGTCATGTTCACATATTGCCATGGTCACACAACTTCCAAATTGGCACATCCCTTTGAACTATAATTATTGAAACCTCATTCAACCAGCTGCAGTCTTTCACAACTGAACCACTTGCCAAGTTCAGAGTTGTTGCACAAGTTGCGGTGGCCGTTCGATAACTATCAGCAATGTTTCTTCCTTTCCCTCCCCCCTCCTTCCTTTCTAACCCTCCCTCCTTCCTCCCTTCCTCCCTCCTCCCTCCCTCTCTCCTTTCCAGTCGAATCCAATTCTATGCTCAGATATTCCAGAGCATAGCAGCTGCAGAAGCCAGGTTCCACGCCGAAATAACTAAGGTACCAGCCACTGCAAATAGAAAATTATTAGGCTCCGTTTTAGTAACGCTTTCTACTTTTATACTGCCGCGTTCCCCTTAATTGCTATCCAGTGGAACCCCACTCAGAAATGAGGACACCCTTCCTTTCCCCGCACGACAGTTCTTGAAATAAAGTTACGGTAACTCCTGAAATAGGGACACCTTGCTTATATTGAAACTTTCTTCTGTCGTATTGGTGTCCGGATTAGAGAGACCTCCATTGTTGTTGTTGTTGTGTAGATTGATGAGGATCTAGCTCGAGTCATGGATGGGCTGGCAGCTGAAGCAGCCACTGGCATTCACTCCACTAAAAAACAGAGAAACACCCTGTCCAATACGTAAGGATTGCATCATCAACAATCAGGATTACCTAATCAACAAACATACGTACCACTCTATTGTTTAATTAATGACCTTGCCTACTTGTTCGCCTGATCTCACTTTATTTAATTGCGGTAACATTCCCCCTCTGGGCAAAATACCCTGCGATTTCCTGTTTAGTTCATTTCCCTTTGTTTTAACATAATTATGCTGCATGCCTGCTTTTCCGTCTCATTTCTTGGACCGTTTCCTGGTCCTTTGTTTAATGTTATCCGCTAGTGTATCCGCCTACTTTCCCTCATCTTCTGTCAACTTGTCTTCTTATCTCTTCTCCTCCGCTCCTTCTCTCGTCCCATTCCTCCTCCTACCTTCTCAGTCTCACCTCCCGTTCTCATCCTCCCATCCCTACTCTCATCCCTCCTCCCTACTCTCTCCCTACCTCCCTACTCTCTCCCTTCCTCCTCCTCCTTCTCCCTCCCTCCCTACTCTCTCCCTACCTCCCTACTCTCTCCCTACCTCCCTACTCTCTCCCTTCCTCCCTACTCTCTCTCTCTCCCTCCCTCCCTACTCTCCCTCCCTACTCCCTTCCTCCCTTCTTCCTCATCTCCCTCCCCCCCCCTCCCCCACCAGTCCGAAGCTCATGTCTCGACCGGTGGAAGAAGACAGCGACGATGATTCGGAAGGAACTGAAAGCCACACAACCTCCCGTTCTCCGTCTCTCAAGCAGTCGCATCTCTCTCCCACTCCTTCTGAACCCAACCAAAATAGCATCGGTGAAGGCAAGTGAAGCCAAACCTAGCAGGGACACAGTAGCATCAGTAAATATAGGCAAACACAAAACTGTAGTAAGCAGTGGTCGTACCAACAGTACACATAACACACTATCCATTCTACCACCTGATCTTTAACTTTTGCTACTCTACATCTGCCCTACACACCTTACCCTCTGTGTTACACCATGTACATGTAAAAGGCGAAAGTGCATTTTCAGCAATTGCCGCTACTTTGCTTGCAACCTTCACACTCTGCTATTGAGGCCAAGTGCTGAGTCAAGTGTTGTGCTAAACACCAGCTACAGGGAGAGAAATATTGCACAAGTGGCTAGCTGGACCATGTGTGAATTCTGTCACGTGTGCAATTTCTTGGGCAATATGTAGCTCCATGCTTTACGCTCTATAGATTCCGCAGAGCTTTGCAGAGGGCTTTGCTTTTTGGTGCTTTCACTTTTGCCATAAACAGCTAAAATTGTACATTGTCTGATTCAATTTCCAGTATTGCATGCCGTTTGTTTTGGATGGCAGGAAGATAAAGATGCCACCTGTACATTAAGTGTGAAGTTCAAAGATGGGAGGGGAAATCGTGCTAGTTGCAGCATATTACATAACATACAGCCGGAAATGTTGCACATTTCAGAACAGAATCAAATGTCAGTATTGAGTAAGAGTGTCCTTCTTTGGAGGGTTAGCAAGAAACACGTATCCTTACTAGAGAAGTGTCGTCATTTCACGATGGTCTTGTAGTTCCAACGTTGCTATCCAATTGCTATTAGAGAGGGTTTCCACGAGTGTGTAATAATGGACCAAAAATGGTTAAAATGTTGGATGACATCATCCTCCACCCACTCTTCTATCCATACTCCACCTTTACGTACCTAGTAGAGGCAAAAGAAGTGACTCACTACCCCCAAACCCTCATATCTGTACTATACATGGGTTAATTGTCACTTGTTTGGAGTACTTACCTCGGATAGTCTGCCATGTTGGTTCAGGAGTGTAATCAGACAGATGAGTAACAGCTGCTTTTAGTATGTGGTGACGTCCCAAGAGTGGTTTTGACTGAGGAGGAACTAACATATAGAGTGTGGTAGTATCCGTTACTAAAAACATGTTAATAAACGTAACTGCATTGTGCACGGACCCCATATTGTATGTTCTATCTTTAGCAACATTATGTGTCACACCCCGGTGCAATCATTCTTGTTGAATATTTCTCCGTGGGAGTCACGGTGTTGTGTCATTCTTTGATTCGTTAGGCGTATCGTTAGCCTGCGGGGCAATATTATCCTTATACGCCCCCCAGTGGGTCGGATGTGAGGTGTGAAAATTCCTTGCAAGCAAGCACTCCTTCTTTCATCATCTTTATCCCACGATTCCCTCTACTATCTATCAAAGTACCTAACTAACACTAGGCATTACACATCCGGTGTTGCAAAAGAAACACTGGCTATAAACATAATTTGAGTTCTAATAAAAAAATGCAAAGCCCGTACAAACATGATTGTAATAAGACGAGAATGAGAGAAACTTAAACTTTATGCAACTCGAGTGCTCTTTCTATACTTCGTTTATGTGGGAATTTTGACAACTGTTACCGAGCGGGGGGGGGGATATTGTAACCTGCATGTACAAAACGAATACCTATCACTGATCCTCAACTTACACCTCCGCCACCCACCCCCATCTTCTTTCCGATCACCCCCCTTTTTCCCCCGCCGCTCTAGCCCCCTCTCCCGTCTCCCCAACCACCCTGTCTCCTTCCTCCTCCCCCCCGTTCCCATCCCCAATCCTGCCCCATTCAATATACTTTTCTAATCCCCTCTTCTGAAACGTGAACCGGGGAAAGTGCAATTATCTGCCTCGTTGTTTGTCTTAGTGGGTTGACCAGTTTTTGTTGTGAGTGACAGTTGTCACGGTAGGCACGATCATGAGTACCTCTGTGTCGGGACGGAATCCCTGATGTGCAATTCCGTTCAAAAATCATTTCACTTTTAATAGCTGGGCTGCATATTACGCTGCCAGTTAATACATTACATTTACACTTGGGTTTAATATTCTCGAGCACTATTACTGTAAGTTTAGGTGACTTTCGGGGTTTTTGAGTAAAGACTGATGTATGCATCAGTAGTTAGGACTGGGGACGGGCCATGACCTTCGCACTGCCATTAAAATTAATTTCCATAATCAGTAATAGTTGGCGTGCTGGTTGGCTTAGTATTGAGACGCTTTGGCCCCCGGGGCTGTTCCACACCAAATAGTGCAGGGTGTAGGGGCCATGTTGTTTCCCACAAAAACAACAATGTTGCCACGACGATCGACGGGCCGTAGGGAGGCAATGAAATCGCCTTCACGTTTCTGTTTTTGTTTCTACTATACTCACCTAATTTAGTCGTGGAATTTTCTCGGTGACTCGCTTTACCCTTAATTAGTCTTAGCCCCGCCCCTCAACATTTCGCCACCCAGCTAGACATAGTGCCTCACTAACCTAATTAGATCTCACCAAATATTATATAGGCCCCACCCTTAGTGCAATACTGATCGTGAATCTGTCTATCTTACATGGATTGCGAATGCTCATAAGTAGGTGAGGGATACGGGGGTGCATATACTAATAACCTTTGGGAAGCCATGGGTATATCCTAAAAGCAGACATGTAGGTATAATATTTAGCGCCTAGTATTTTATACCCCATATAATTCTTATGGACTTAGAAGGATTGGCGAGAGGACTTTACTGCTCTTTACTGTTAGGGATTTTTTTTGATAACTGCGGTGTCCAAGTAAGCATAGTAGCGTGAGAAATTGGAATGCCACAGTTTTCTAGCATGTATGTTTTGTAGCTTATGATTTGAATAGTGGGGCGTTGTGGGGGCCATTTGAAGAGCGAGGGGGAAAGGACAGACGGATTGTGGGTGGTGTCACTTGTATGCGCGGAGGAAGTCAGTTTAGTTTGTGGGGGGGCCTGGCACAAATTAGGACGTGTTAAAAAACACAGACAAAAACTTGTTACAGACGTTGTGTTACGGGCTTCGATTTATACAAGCGTTTTGGTTAGTATGTGGGGTCTATGTATAGCGGC